GTGTATATCAGTATGTAGTGTCTCTACTTTAAAGAGTCCTCTCCTGCTGATCTTCAGGTGTATATCAGTATGTAGTGTCTCTACTTTAAAGAGTCCTCTCCTGCTGATTTTCAGGTGTATATCAGTATGTAGCGTCTCTACTTTAAAGAGTCCTCTCCTGCTGATGTTCAGGTGTATATCAGTATGTAGTGTCTCTACTTTAAAGAGTCCTCTCCTGCTGATGTTCAGGTGTATATCAGTATGTAGTGTCTACTTTAAAGAGTCCTCTCCTGCTGATTTTCAGGTGTATATCAGTAGCGTCTCTACTTTAAAGAGTCCTCTCCTGCTGATTTTCAGGTGTATATCAGTATGTAGTGTCTCTACTTTAAAGAGTCCTCTCCTGCTGATGTTCAGGTGTATATCAGTGTGTAGTGTCTCTACTTTAAAGAGTCCTCTCCTGCTGATGTTCAGGTGTATATCAGTGTGTAGTGTCTCTACTTTAAAGAGTCCTCTCCTGCTGATGTTCAGGTGTATATCAGTATGTTGTGTCTCTACTTTAAAGAGTCCTCTCCTGCTGAGTGTTACAAAGTGATGTCACTTTGTTTTACAGCTAAAACCCCAAACATGTCAATTCAAAGTCATATTTACCATAAATTCTTATAAGTTAAAGTAATAAAAGACAACATGACATTTAGGGCTCTGATTTACAAGTATTTGCATCAGTGAATTATTTCTTGAGCCAGATGTGAAATAATCTCAAAGCTTTATTTAACTTGGATCAATGAAGACAATTCAAATGTAAAGTAAACAGAATAAAACATTAAAATTAAATTAAGCATTTCCAACAACAGTTTCTTTTTGGTCTGGAACATTTTTGGCACATTTGATAATCTGAATGTTTGTATTGCAGTCTTATGTGCATGCAAAGAAATACAAATAATAGACACACAGAAACTCAACGGCCTGAAGCTGGACCACAGAACATCTGGAGCGTGTTATTAATCAGAGAGCAGTTTCTTTTCGCCCTTGGATCCGGGTTGGAGCTGAAAGGACTAAAAGGACTCAAAAGCTGAGTTTCTGAATGAAAGCATGATATTTACTAAATTGATCATGTGTTTTATAATGTTAAACATTATTTATTTGCAAAATGACTTTTCATTTCAGGTGTTGAATAGGTATAGTATGCAAAAAGGACGATATTTCTCTCTGAAATGTAGCACAGTAGAAGTAAAGTCCCTCAGTATTGCACATAAGTACAGTACTGCAGTGTTGTGTGTATTAGTACTTGCTGATGGCGGTTTCTTCACCCCTTGGACCCGGGTTTGAGCGAGCTGAAGGGCTTGGTGTTCCTCAGCGAGCCGGAGATCTCCTGCAGGAAAGCGGCGATGTGAAGATCTTTCTCCGATTTCTTGCCGTCAAAAATCACCACGAGCGTGAAGTGTGGCTCCGGCCTGGTCAGGAAGTAGGTGCTCGTCACCTTGTCGTCGTAGAAGTGAACCACCTTGTCCAGCGTGTTGAGTTCTGCGGCGTGGTCGCCCATCATCATGATGACGTTCGGCCAATGGGTGAGCGGACGCTCGCCCGTCGGCAGCGACACCACGGCCGGAAACTGCTCCACGCCTTTAGGAGCTTCACGGTACGAGTGGGGGTGATGGTACCTGGAGGAGGAGACATGTTATGGGTGTTAAGATAAGAGGTACTTTACTGGGGGGCTTCCTCTGTATTAGGGATGCCAGAAACTGACCATGATCAAAATCGGAAATCGGACAGCCCTGGCGAATAATAATCGATTAGTCAACGCCCGCAGTAAAACAAACTGGTGGTGTGACCATTGGCCATTTACAATTATTAGTACTATTACTATTATTAGCATTAGTCTATATTTTGGTTGAAACTAAGCCAGGAAAAAAAAAATAATAATAATAATAATAAAAAAATATATAAATAAAATCGAATTTTAAAAATAATTTTCGATTATGCAGACTGTAACGAATATTAGAATAATCACCTGCATCCCTACTCTGTATAAGCTCTCTGCCCTCCCACTCATTTAGTTTTTTTTTTGGATGTATAAACTGTCGAATTGTTGAAATAGTAGAATAAACTAGAACATTCAGAGAAATGTTGGCTGTATGAATGAAACTTGGGTGCGCGTCCCGAAGCTAAGTTACCCCCGTGAGTAAGTATTAATAGCATTAGTTTGTTGTTAAGGTACAACGACTATTTGAACTGTTTATCTATCACACTTTTGGATTCTTGCACCACATTCCTGCATCGTTTCTGAACATCTTTAGATGACCACTGGATTTAGTTAACGACCAACAGGTGTGTTCAAAGATCAAAGCGTTTCCACGGCAACGCCCTGCCAGCGAACGAGAGACAGCGGGTGTTTCTCAATGTGGAGTACGCTTGCTTGGTAGCACATGTCTTCCGAGTCACTTGCTTCAGAAGCGAGGCAAGAACACTTCCTGGCATTCGGAAAACGAAGAGTGGAACAGGCGAGCAAGTGTGCAGGTGTGCGTCACATGCATACTTGCCAACCTTGAGCCCTCAGAAATCGGGAGCATTTCAAAACTACCGCGCGTTCCTGACGGACGGCTAAAAAGCCCAATATTCTAGGTGCTAGTGGAGCGCTGGAGCTGTTAGCTTAACATTAACATGCTTATTGTAGTTGTAAGTGCACTGCCTTGCGGCCTGTAGCACCGTCCTTGATGGAGCATATGTGTGGGCTGGACCTGTATTTTACAGGAAAGGAGTGAGCAGAGGGTAGAGTAGTTGTCGATTCTTGTTCTGTTTTCTGTGACTATCTTCCTCACCCTCTTAGACTTTCAGTTGCGCGTGCTACTAAAGAGACGTGTTACCATGGAAACCAAACAATGGTGTATTAAAGTCCGAGTGGAAACAGTCCTGTGTAAATCTGATTTTGTCAGAAATCTGGAGAAATGCGGGAGAAATAAGACCCCGGGAGGAAACCGGGAGAGGGCTATGAAATCGGGAGTCTCCCGCGAAAAATCGGTAGGGTTGGCAAGTATGGTCACATGAGAGGCCCCGCCTTACATTTTCCGCCACAGATTTGGGGAAATTGGTCTGTGCGCAAAGCATTGTGGGGATTTTAAGACCGCGGAGTCTACACATGTGCAGCCTCGAAATTTCTCGCTACGAAGTACGCCGGGCTCGGTAGAATTCCAAGTATGCTGGACATTGGAACAGTCCTTCGGCGGGACTCGATGACGTAGTATGCTTGAAATAGTGGCTCTGGAGCAGCTTTACTCGACATTGAGAAACACCCGGCCTGTCAGAGAATGTATTAACAATATTGTGCTGCATTATTGCTTCTAAGTAAAAAACTGTAACTCCAATCAGCTAAATATCCTACCAGAGTATTTAGGATACCAGATGAACACCTGATGACTCGTGTTTGCTATATGTGGAAGTCTGTTGGATTAAATGAGCATATCGGTGCAGCCGTGACAAATGTCCCAACATTATGATCACCAAATGATGTATGAAGAGTGGGAATATTGGCCAGCCGAGCGATAGTTGAAAAAAAAGAGGAGAATAAGATGAGATACGTAAGTATGTCGAATACTATTCTGTGTGCGGCTTCGCCAGTCACACAGAATAAATAATAAAAGTGACAGTACCCGTGTCCCTGGAAGCTCTCTGAGCATCTGTTGTCGAACACCAGCGACACGTTGCTGGCGTCGTGCTTCCTGATGAAGGAGCAGATCTTCCCGCTGAAGTCGGGCGCGGTGCGGGCCGTCAGAGCCTTCATGTCCCCGGCTGCCGTCTGCCGGCTCAGAGCCTCGTGGAAGTAGAAGCTGAACTTAGCGAGCAGCAACACCTGGAAGCGCTGCAGCCACAGGTACAGGTGAGGCGGCTGCACGGCCTTCTGGGACTGACCTCCGAACATGTGCTTCCGGGTCTCTTTCTGCCGCTGGAACAACTGACCCCAGGCCAGCAGCTTGGAGTTGGCGTCGTGGAGACTGAGCAGAGCGGGAAGGAAACTCCACTCGGAAATCTGAGCCTGGCAGCGAAGAAGCTGAAGAACAACGTCCAATTCAGTCTGGAAACATTCCTCCACTCGACTCAGGATGGGGTGGTGGAACCTGAGGAAGAGGAGGAGGAGGAGGAGGAAGAACAAATGTAGTGACTGAAGCCTTGTTTGTAGGCGAGTCACTCTGTAAAGACCTCTGAGACAAATGTGTAATTTATGTGAATTATGTTATTCATACATTTGATTCAGTACCTTTGATTCTCTCCAATTTCAAAAATGAAATAAACATAACAAATTATAAAATAGTTAAAGTTAGCAAATCTAAAAAATGTGTACAATTCTTAAAACAATTATAAAAATATATTAAAAAAATTAATAAAAATAATGATATAATTAAAATACACATTATTTATCGTAGCATATTTCAAGTTTATTTGTATTAAATCTCAGACACAAGTCGATGCTGCTATCTGTAAATAAATGCTATTTGATGTCTTATAAAACTATTTCACAAATGTACTCCCTTACATTTTTGCTTTAAACTTATTCTAGTCTTTGTTTTCCTCAACATTCATTTGGATTCTCACACACACACACACACACACACACACACACACACACACACACACACACACACACACACACACACACACACACACTATATTTAGGCTCCCCATATATCTTGAGGTCTGCTGACGTGAAGATTCACCTTCACCCTCCTGAGCTCGCTCATATCAGTGATGTACGGTGTGTTCTCTCTCCGCAGTGTGTGTGTGTGTGTGTGTGTGTGTGTGTGTGTGTGTGTGTGTGTGTGTGTGTGTGTGTGTGTGTGTGTGTGTGTGTGTGTGTGTGTGTGTGTGTTTCTGCTGACACGTCTCCAGGGAGAAGTTGGTTTGTGTTTTTGCGATTTAAGCAGATTGTCTTCC